GGTGTCATTCCCGAAGCAGAGCTCCACGTGAGAGCCCGCCTAACACGAGCAGGGCAATCAGCGCCACTGCCTCGCAGTCGCTGGGGCTCTGGCAGGTCCCGAGGTGACTCCTCAGGGGCGAGGCTGGGCGGACACAGGCAGTGCCTCCCCCACCCCACCGAGCTGCAGCCACAGCCTCTACTCAGCTTTCTAGCCCCAGGGACAGGGTCCATCTGAACCAAGCTCTGCCAAAAGAGGAGGCGGCATCGCCATCTCAAGGGAGTGGGGACTTGACACTAAAAACCCGAGACGGTTGCGGCCCCGTGGCCGTCCACGGGGTCTGGAGCTGGATGCGGGGAGCTCCTCCTCCCTCTCCTCCAGTCTCCATTTCTGCTGCTCCTTCTGGGTCAGTGGGGCACTCCCCTTCCCCCTTGGTATCTCCTCTGCTGCTGCTGCACCATCCCCATTCTGCCTGATCTTTTTTTTTTTTTTTTTTTAAGAGAAAAGAAATAGAAAAAAAAATTTAAATGATACAGAATTTTGCTAAACAAAATGATAGGAATTCAACAGTGATGGTTATACTGAATGTTGTCTTCTTCAAGTTAATGGTTCAGATTACCAGACATTAGCGTGCTCCAGCATCGACACCCACTGCCAAAGACTCAGTCTTCTGGTCCAAAATCTCTGGAAATAGGCAAATTTGATTGGTTCATTCCAGCCTATGGGTGATGTCCCCCTTGGATTAAGTGTCATTCCTTTGTCTGATTGGACAAAGGATATCATGATTCGAGCAGATTGGCTGGAACCAGGAGGTGGCAAGACACTTAAAAGTCTGTGATAGGCAGAATAATGCTCCTCCTAAAGATGTCCAGTGCAGCCCCTGAATGTTACCACATACAGCAAAAGGGACTTGGGAATGTCATTTATTTAAAGATCTTAAATTTGAGGCAATCCTGCTTTATGCAGTGACTCAGTGTAATCCCCAAGGCCCTTATGAGGGAAAGAGGGGCAATGAGTCGCAGTTAGAGGAGAACAGAGCGGTGGAAGCAGAGGTGGGTAGATTTTCGGCTTTGAGGAAGGAGGAAGAAGCCACAAGCACAGGGGTGCAGGCAACCTTTACAGAGGGGAAACGATGGGAGAAACGCAGCGCTGCCCACACCTTGGCATCATCCTGGGGAGACCCACGGCCGGCCTTTGAACTCCAGCACCAGAGGGCAATGCATTTGTGCTATTTGTTGCAGCGGCACAGGGTAGCAGCCTGGCTACCCCCCACGGCTATGCCTTTGTCAGAGGGCGGGACAGGAACCTTTCTTCAGAAGGCATGGAGGAGGGCCCGGCCACATGTCCAGCACCCCAGCAGAAGGGAGTGTCTGTAAGGGTGGGCCACCGGGAGTGGGAAGCTGCTACGTGGGCTGGTGGAGGGACTCTGCCAATGCAGGGGTGGGGGTGGGGCGGCCGGCTGCACTGAGTCTCAGGCTGTGCTCACGGGCGCCAGAGCCCTAAGAGGAGCTCCAGGCTGGCGTCCTCACTGCACCTGGCCTGCCACGGACACCGTGAAGGTCAGGTGTTCCCAGCTCCCCAGGGGCTCAGCTCCTTTGCAGGTCAGGTGAGCGCTCGCGCTAGATCAGCGGGTCAGCTTTTCTTTCTAACAAAGTTTGCAGGCCAGATGTGGTGGTGAACGCCGTAATCCCAGTGTTCTGGAGGCTAGGACTGGAGGGCCACCAGGAGTTTGAGGCCAGCTGGGCTACGTGGTAAGTTCAAGACCAGCCCGAACTATACAGCAAGACCCTGCCTCAGAAAACCCAAATTTCAAAATAAGGAAGATTTCTTAGCAGCAAGTTTCTTCCTGTCTCCTGGTCTTGCCTGTGACTCGGGAAAGGGTGAGTGGCTGACGCTCAGAGCCACGGCAGGCACTGCTTGCCGAGCCCTCCTACCAGTGCAAACAAGGCCCCACCACCCTCGAGTCACAGATGAGGAAAGAGAGGCCCAGAGAGGTGAAGACACTTGCTCCAGGGCACACAGTATGGAGGAGGTAAATTCTGGATTTGAACCCATGTACTGAAAGGAGTGGGGAAAGGTGTGGGCTCCGTGTGGACACTGGCTCCGTGTCTCCTCTTGTCCCCTCAGCCACCTGACCATTTCTGTAGGACCCTGTGGCTCACACAGCACCGTCTAAAAGCCACACTGGGCCACCCCCTGACTGTGTGACTGGTGCCTGTGTCCTCTTCACCACGAGGAGCTAGAAGCCCCAGGCTCTGGTGCCCAGAGGGGACCCCAAGTCTCGGTTCCTTGGGGACCCTGCCCTCCCTCAGATTCTGGCCAGCAAGGTGACCTCGGCCAAGCCTCTCGGGGCCTCAGCTAGCAACTAGCTGTGGAGTTCACCTCCCTTCAGGAGCCAGAACGCTTGAGAAAATGAAGAACTACTGTCTCTAGCACGGCTTTGCACTTTCGGCCTTCACCAGTTCCACTGTCCTCATCTGACCAGAGAGGTGGCTTGTGGGGCCAGGACACAGGTGGCGCAGGGGGAGCGCTCATCCTGGCCCCTCCCCCACAGCCCACCCACACGAGGTCTGCTTCTGGTAGTTGGGCTTGATGCCCCTGAGTCCCTCTTCCTCCCCTACTTCCTGTAGAGCAGAAAACTGAGGCCCGGAGGTGCTGGCTCGCCTGCCCAAGGTCAGCCTGTCTTCAGCAGCACAGCTGGGGACTGAGTTGGGGGGAGGGGTCCCTGACTCACACTTGTTCCTGTCCTTCTTCTCCAGTGCGGTCTCCACAGCCCTACCCAGGGCTCCGGAGCTGGGGTGTTCCCAGCTGTCCCAGGCTGGGCTGGTTAAAAGCAGTAAACTTCTGCCAGCAGCCCTAGCCCAAGCCTTACACATCACCGCACTGAGGAGCCTCTGGTACGCGGGAGAGCTGCAGATGTCCGGGCCCAGCCACCCCTACCCCTCCCAAGCCACGCTCCTCTGGGCAGGGAGGGAGGACAGCTCTCCTTGCCTTCCTTCCCGGCGCTGGCAGAGCTGCGGCGGCTGCTCCTGCCTGCTGCCTGGCTGATGGAGAGATTATTCCTAAGCCCTCCCCATCCCCCTCACAGGACCATGCTGGCTGACTGGCTGGCTGGCTGGCTGTCCCCATAGGACTTGGAGCGCAAAGTCTGCCGCTGAGGCAGGACAGCTGGCCCACCTCCCTCTAGCACAGACCCTGGCCTCTCATGAGGAAGGGCTTTCGGGGTCATCCCCAAAGCCCACCCCACTCCTCCAGGGCTCTCTGCAGCTGCCGGGGGAGAGCTGCTGAATGAATGAACTTCTGGTTTTGGGAAGAGGCAAGGCAGAGCCCGGGGACTAACTCTGCTGGAAGCGGCTGCACTGGGGAAGTTTTTTTCCCCCCTCTCCAACACAGACCTGTCCCTTCCCTGGCACCAAGACAAGGGCTCCCCTGGCTCAACTGGAAACAATCGCAAACGGCCTCCCCAAGACAAGAGGTGAGTCAACTTCGGGGCAGGAAGCGGGCATTTGTGCAAGGGCAGGGGGTGCAGCAGCGAGCAATGCCATAAAACATTTTGGCAAGAGCACTGTTACGAGTGAACCTCCTTCGCGGGCTCTAAAGCAGCTTTGCCGGCCAGCTGTTGTGGGGTGTGCGTGTGTGCAAAGCTGGGTTTGTTCAGTGAGTGCAAAGAGGGCAATGTGTGGGTTCTGGAACAGCCCCACTCTGGGAAACTGAGTCCTGGGCTGGATTCGATTTGCTGCGTGACCTTGCACATGTAACATCGGCCCTCCGAGTCTTGGCTTTTGCACATGCAAAGTGGGAAAGCTCCTGAGATTTCCAAACCCTCTTCTCTCAGCAGGCTGCATGCCTCCAGCCAGCTGCTGTGAGCAAAGTAATGCCTGCAGAGTAAGAAGCCCGAGCAAGAGAGGGAGAAAAGCTTCGGCTGCGATTCACTCTCTACCATCCGCTGGAATCCACCTGGCGCTGCAATTGAGAGGAACTTTTGTTTCCATTCAGCGGCCAAGATTCCCTCCTGATCTGACTGCATCTGGAAATGTAAGGATACAGCAGCTTTGGAGACAGCTCCAGCTGGAATGATTGGAGTAAGAAACAACTGCAGGATGGCAAGGGGGAGAAAACTTGCGGAGACTATTTTTTAGAAATATGTGACTGGGATAATTCTGCAGTCAAGTGCCCCAAATAGCTCTAACATAGAGAGCAAATTGGAAGCCCCTTCATTTTGGAGATATAAGACCAAGGTCCAGAGAGGGGGACAGCTAACTCAAGGTCACACAGCAAGGGTGATTGAGACCAACATTTGGTGAGCAATGAAGGAGCGCTGTCACCTCCATCATCTAGTGAGGTCCCCAAGTGAGAGAGCAGTTGAGAGGTGAGGTGGTCACCTTGGAGGACACTGGGTGAGATGCTGTGTATAGCAGTCATGAGTCCTTGGAGCTTCGATGGCCCACACTGAGCCCGGCAGGGTAGCAGGTGCTGACTGCCCTTATGGGCCTTGGTTTCCCTGTCTGTGAGGTGTGTGCACACTTTAGGACTGTTCCGATAGAGGACAACAGACGCATCAGAAGTGTCTGGAAGTGTTCTTAGTGACCCCTTCTCTGTGGTCCTGCCTGTGACGCCCCCCCCCATGCCCCAGAGGTGGCCTTGATGTGGCCGCCACACCACCCCAGTCCCATCTGCAGCCACAGCTGTGAGGGACTGTGGCCTCCAACCCGAGTCTCTTCACGTGCTGTCCCCGGCAGGATGTCTTGTCCTTGGAATGAACAAGGCTCAGCTCGGAGAGGGGAAGCCATCGGGCTGGGGTTTGTTCACTGATGCCCTCGCAACACACAGTAGCTGTGTAACAAAAGTGTCCAGGGAGAGAGTCAGGGAGCGTTCGATGCGCTCAGCACTGCTGGGAAGCAAACGTATGAAAGTGTCCAGGGTGCCCGGGACTCTCTGCTGAGCCTGATTTCTCCTCGTCCCCTTGCTGTGCCCTCCTGTCAGACAGGTGAACTCCAGCTGCTGGCCTGGATGCCTCCAGGATGCCTACACCTTCCAGAGACCGGGGCCTGCATCCCGGGCTCCAGCGCTATGATGCCTGCAGCCCCCTGAGCCAGCTCCTGCCTGGCCCCCTGGAGCAGCGGGCGGTCAAGGGCCTTTACTACTGCAGGGCACGGAGGGTGGACACGCTGGACGCCTGCCCGGCCGCCGACCTAAAGAAGGAGCTCCTGGTGAACGTGGGCGGCCGGAGGTACCTGCTGCCCTGGAGCACGCTGGACGCTTTCCCGCTGAGCCGCCTGAGCCGGCTCCGCCTGTGCCGCAGTCTGGAGGAGATCACACAGCTCTGCGACGACTACGACGCTGACCGCCAAGAGTTCTTCTTCGACCGCAGCCCCAGCGCCTTTGGCGCGATCGCAAGCTTTCTGGCGGCCGGGAAGCTGGTACTGCTGCGGGAGATGTGCGCGCTGTCCTTCCGCGAGGAGCTGGCCTACTGGGGCATCGAAGAGGCGCAGCTGGAGCGCTGCTGCCTGCGCCGGCTGCTGCGGAAGCTGGAGGAGGCGGCCGAGCTGCGCAGAGCAGAGGCGCTGCAGCTGGGCTGCGAGGCCACCGGGCCCGCCGTGCGCCCCTCGCGCTGGGGCCGCTGCATGAACCGGCTGCGCCAGATGGTGGACGACCCGCAGTCCGGGCTGCCTGGGAAGGTCTTCGCCTGTCTGTCCATCCTCTTTGTGGCCACCACGGCGGTCAGCCTGTGCGTCAGCACCATGCCGGACCTCCGGGCAGAGGAAGACAAGGTGAGTGGCTCCTGTGGCGAGCAGAGTGGGTACACCGATCTTCCAAGGAATCCATGCAAAGGCCATTATCGTGTGTCCTTGGGCTCTGGGAAGGGATCCTGGATGTTGACAAAGCCGCACCTGGTCGCTTTGGGCCGAGCAAGCTCAGCCCTGCTCACCCAGCCCTGTGACTGGGGGCAAACTGCTTCGCCTCTCTGACCCTCTGTCTCCACCTTGGTAAAATGGATATGACTGCTGGAAAGGGTCTCAGTGTGCTCAGCGTGTGTTATCTGAGCAGCTACTTTGTGTCAATCCCTAGTGCAGAGCCCGCCTCTTTGAGCTCACAGTCCCCTGGGTGTCCCAGCTCTATTTTCAGATGAAAACAGAGGTACCAAGTACGTTTGCTCCTGTTATACCATAAAGATGATAGCAGAGCCTCCTGGCCCTCATCCTCCTGTCTGTGCCTCAGCCCCAAATCCCTCGGTAAACCTCAGTGCATGAGATTCGGAGAGAAATTGCTAGGTACATGAGCACCCATCCCAGAGCGGGCGTTTTGCTTACCCGCTCCTACTCTCCCCCTCTCAGAGTAGGGAAGGCACCTGCGCTGCCAGGGCCCAGAGGATCTGAGAAGTGAGACAGGAACTAGTGTTTGCCACGAGGGTTATTGGAGAATCTCAGACTACAACTGGACCGTTTCGCACCGGTGCTCCTCTCGGGCTCTACCCTTTCCCATAGCTCTGCCTTGTCCTGGCTCGAGGTGCTCACATCCCAACAGGAGAGGGCAAATGCAGATGCTCCGCCAGCTGTGGGGGTCCCAAGCTCCCTTCCCCTGCAGACAGGACCCAGGGCAAGACAGTGGGGATAGAACGGCCCAGATGGAGCACCAGCCCGTGCCGCACACACAGTAGGCTCTTAGTCAATACCTGATGGATCACATTGTTTTATCCAATCCACAAAGATTTGTCCTTTAAAAAGACAACCAAAATACTTGGACTTTCAAACAGCACCTTCACCCTGTGTTGCTCTGATTAGAAGCACTTGTTCATGTTTAGCACAAAGGCTTGCGACTTAGAAGCTTTGTTTGCAGAGGTTTACATGTGGTCTCCATAGTCAAAAGATTAGGGCACAATAATCTGTCCTCTCACACTGTTCCTCAGCTGTACCTGGAGGCCGGGAGGCTGCGAGCCTGGTCCTCCTAGGACTCCGCAGGGAAGGAGAGCCTGTGGGGGCACCCCAATCGAAACTGCGCAGAAATCTAATGTTTTGAAACATGACTGAGGGTACAAACCCTGGCTGGCTTAACATGACTTGGGAAATCAAGTTAGAGGTGGTCACAGCCCAGCACCGGTGGAGGAAACAGGCAGCCCTGTCCCTGGGGATGGGAGAGGTTTATACTCAATCTGGCTGCTGAACCTTCATGTGTCCTTGCAGGGGAAACACCTTCATACCACTGCTGGGAGACGATACGGGCACGGGCCAGAGAGCGGCGTGTTTGCTGCTGGGACAGTAATTTAGAGCTGCTGCTCCTTCTCCAACTCACGCCCTATATTTCATATTTGGCCCAGGGTGGTGGGCTAGCACAGCCCCATCAAAAGAGCTGGCTGCTTCCTGCTGGCCTGCTTCCGGCTCTGAGTGGCTCTGATGGCCTCCACTCAGACAAGTTAATGCTGTACCGGGGGCATGACCCTCGAGCACCTCCCTAGACAGAAGGAAGGGACATGTGTAGAGGGAGAGAACCCTGAGGGGCGCAGGCTCCTACCATCTCTCCTCAGTTCAGCAGCATCCCCAGCGGTGAACCACCTGGCCATCCGGAGGGTGAAATCTCTGTGCCCCAGATGGCCTCCATACCCCTCGCACCCTGGCTGTGGCCTTTCTCATAGGACAGTTCAACCTGATGTCTTCATTTGCAAATAAAAAATCTTTGCTCTGGAAAAAAAAAAAAAAAGGACATCAAGGGAGCCACGCCAAGAACCTGAGCCCCTCAGGACACAGGAGCCTGGAGTGCTGGGCTTCCTCCCAGCCAGCCGCTGAGGATTGTTTGCAGTTTTGAGACATGATTCCCTGCAACCCAGGCTACATCTCAACCCTCCTGACTGCTGGGTCACAGGTGTGCGCCTCCATGCCAGCTACAGGGGTAGGTTGAAAGCCCAGTGTGGGGGGAGGGGCTCCTAGGTCCCTCGCCCGGACCCGTGCCCACCTTTGCCTTCTGATTTGGCCAGCTCCTTCCCGCAGTTTCCACCTGCCCACTGCACCTGCTCTTCCCAGAAAACCCTCCTGCTGCAGCCCCCCCACCCGCTAGCCCAAGCCAGCTTTCCGAGGAGGCCCTGCTCTCCACCACTATTCCATGTTCAGTGACATTTGGGATTTCTGCTTTACTATGGTTTCTTTCTCCATCAAGTCTCCCTCTATCCTAATTCTTACCTTGAGGTGACACCCAGGACCCCAGAAGCCAAGCAATGGGACAGTGAGGTTTGGAGCTAATAGAGTTGTCCTTTCGTATTCAGGGACTGGGCTCAGGACACTCCACCCATCCGGGTACCAAATCCATGGGTGCGTCCATTACTTATATCAAAGGTGCGGTATACACTACCTTTCCACACATGTCCAGTCATGTCTAGGTGATTTACAAACCAACATACTCAAAATGCTATGTGAATAGTTGTTATGCTGTGTTGTACAAGGACTAGATTTTTGACAGAAAAAAAAAATCTCTATGTGTTCGATCCATACAGATAAAACTTTTCTGCTGAATATTTTCTATCCAAGAGTGGTTGTAAAACTGACAGATATAAGGACCAGACGGCATTTATTAGACCCATGCTGCTGTGTACCCAGCCCTGTGCAGTTATTTCCTTTGTTTCCTAATTTATATTTTTAAAGGGTGTCTTCTCCTTCTCTTCCTCCTCCTCCACCTCCTCTTCCTCTTTTTCTTTTTCCTCCTCCTCCTCCTTCTTCTTCTTCAAGGGGGCTTTTCTTTTTCCTTTTTTTTTTTTTTTTCACCAGAAATGGAACTCAGGGCCTTGTGCATCCCCGGCCTGGTTTCCTAATTTAATCCCCCGATAGTCCCATTCTAAAGGTGGGAAGACTGAGGTCTACCAGGTTCCTGATTTGCCAGGGCTAAGCAACTCAGGGTCCTTATACTTTGTGGAGCAGCAGCAGCCCACTGCCCATAGTAATGGGCCCAGAGTGGCAGCAGCAGAAGAGGAGGGAGGAGGAGGGAGGGGGAAGGGCAGTTAGACCAGAAAGTGCCTCTGCAGTGCCAGCCCAAGCACGGGTCGCCTGTGCTCTGGACTGCCCTGCAGGACAGGAGAGGAGCTCTGGGGTGGGGGCATCAGCTGGGAGGGGGTCACAGATGCGGGGGTGGGGGCATGGCCAGTGAGGGAGGGTTGTGGAGGGCACCAGGAGGACTCTGGGGAAGGAGAAGCCAGGGAGGATGAGTCAGCACCTCTGGCCCCAGGAGAGAGGAGGAAGCAGCCCAGGGCCTGAGGCCAGGCTGTGGGAGGAAGACGGGGGCCATACTGCAGGGAGCTGGGGACCCACCGGAGATGCGGAGGTTCCTGCGGGATGCTGCAGGGCAAGAGGAGGCTCCAAGGTCAAGGGTGTTGGCTTCACCTCTCACAGAGGGACCTCGTAGAGCTGCCCAGCTTCCCACCCACACCATGCCCCCGAAGGCCCTGTGCTCGGCCTAGGTGCTCTGGGAAGGGTCCCCACTGGACCCACCCTTGCCATCCCCACAGGACCCAGGTGAGGATTTTGGAGTCTTTTATTAAGATATGGTTCACACACCATAGCAGTCACTGTTTAACAGTGCAGAATTCAGCCCAGTGTGGTGGGCACGCTTATAGTCCCGGCACTGTGGGAAGCTGAGGCAGGTGAATCACAGGTTCTAGCCCAGCCTAGAGATTCAGCAAGAACCTGTCTTTAAAAATGGGGGTGGGGGGCACATTCCGTGAGTCTCAGGGATCCTCAGAGTGGTCCAGCCATCAACACTGTGTTATTCTGGAACACTGTTACCAACCCAATATTCACTGGCAACCACGCCCTCGGTCCCTCTGCTCCCTGTCTCGGATTGGCCGCTTCCGGGCACTGCATATAGAGGAGTCCTACAGTGTGGGCTTTTTGGCTTCCAAGGTTTTCCCTAGGTACAGAGTGGGTCAGAACCTTATTCCCTATCCAGTGGGTGGGGCATCCATGCACTGCAAGAGTGTGCAAGCCCATGTGGTTTCTTTTTTTGTTTGTTTGTTTTTAAACATTTTATTTATTTACTTATTTTTGTGGCCAACTCAGCCCACCCGGGGAGCAAGGCTGGCGCAGCATGCGGTGCCGGGGATTGAACTGCGGTCCCTAGGCTTGCCTAAGCTTGCCTAAGCACCTGCTTTAGACCACTGAACTATCCTGCCGGCTGCCAGCCCATGTGTTTTTGTCCCTCGCTGGGTCCTATACTAATTCTCAGCCTACTGCTTTTCAGGCAGCTGCCCCATTACTGTTCTACCTTCCCGCCCACAGGCCCTGAGGGCTGCAGGTTCTCCACAATCTGACCACACTTGCTATCTTTTGTCTTGTTCTGTCCTCTCCTGTCCTGTCCTGTTGTTTGTTTGAGGTAGGGTCTAGTAGTCTAGGCTGGTCTTGAACTCATAGCAATCCTCTTGCCTTAGCCTCCGACAGGTTAGAAATTACAGAAAGACATCTCCATGCCTGGCTATCACTGTTCTTTTTTTTTTTTTTTTTTTTTTTTTTTTTTTTTTTTTTTTCCTGGTACTGGGAATTGAACTCAGGACCTTGCACTTGCCAGGCAGGTGATTGTGCCACTGGGCTACATCCTCAGCCCTACCACTGGACTTCTTAAAGTGATATCTCATTGTGGTTTGGAATATTTAACGTTTATTTTTTAACTTTTCATTATAGACTTCCAGACATTTATAAACAGAATATTATAATAAATGAGAAACCAATGTCCTGCTGTTCTTATTTCCCTCCTGCCCTAAATCACTTTTTAATCATTATTTTGACCTTGAAGTTGTATATAACATATACATTGAGATGTGCAAATGTTTTTTGTTGGGGGGGAAAGTATTGGTGACTGAATCCAGGGCCTGCACACTGAGCGACATCTACATTCTTTCTTACTTTTTTAAAAAATCTTTTACTTATTTATTTGTTTGGCACAGGGTATCACTATACAGTTCAGAGTCCTAGTGATCATCCTGTCTCAGCCTCCCCAGTGCTGGGGTTACAGGAGTGCACCACCCTGCCCTGTTTCGGTGTCCCGCATGGCGCACCTGGGGTTCCAGGACTGGTGCAGCATTCAATACTAGGGATCGAACCCAGGACCTTGTGCTTGCCGGGTAGGTGCTTAGACCACTGAGCTACCTCCCCAACCCCCCCCATACTTTTGTTGAGCTGGAGTTGCACTGAATTTCCTAGGCTGGATTCAAACTTGTGATCCTCCTGCTTCAGCCTCCCAGAGTGCTGGGATTACAGGTGTGTGCCACTTTGCGTGCCTGCAAAGCACATATTTTAACAAAGAGATGTGCCCATGCACCCCTCCCACGGAACACGCCCTGTGGCCTTTCCCTGTCAATCCGCTGCACCTGAGGCAGCCCCATTACCAAGCATCCTGTAGGAGGGCATGGCCCACAAATAAGGACGCCAGCCATCTGCATTGCCTAGGACTGAGGGGGTTCCCAGGACCCAAAGTGTTTGTGCTCAAACCCAGGAAGATGAAGCAACCCAGGGCGAGTGGAGCTGTTACCCCCTGGACAAAATACAATGGAAAAGGAACTTTCTCCGAGAGACAGAGAGACTTTTCTTTCCTTCCTCCTCCTCTCTCTTTTCCCCTGAAAATATCAGCTGGGCTGGGGGTTATTCCCCAGCTGGAGCCATAAATGCCACGGCACAGTGCAGCTGAGAGGCCCAACCCTGCTGCCTGGGCCTGTTCCGGGCTGGTTAGGCATGCAGAGCAGAGCCAGGTGCGGCGGCCGGTGGCGCAGTGACTCGGCACAGCCGCTTGCTGCAGTGTGGGAGGAGCTGGCCAGCTGGGAGATGGAGAAGGCTGCATGGCTTGAATAGCCAAGCACCAGCTAGGCCTGCAGGCCGCTGCGGGACCCCCGGGCTCCTCAGCTCTGGCAGTGGCCCTCTTGCTATTCCCAGGGTGCCAAGGAAGAAATTCCAGATGTCCCCAAAGAAAGTGGCCTAGTGGGGAGGATCCAGCCCAGGGTAGAACTTCCAGCTGTTCAGAGTCCAAGGGGAGCTGCCAAAATGCACAGTCCTGGGCCCCACTCCAGGGCTGGGCTTGGTGACAGCGCCTGAGAATCTGTATTTGTAACCAGCACCCTTGGGGATTTGCATGCAAGGTCTTCTGAACCAGCTTTGAGAAATCCTGACTGTGTTTCAGCCTCTTCATTGGAAACTGAAGCACAGAGAGGAAGGGGCACAGGGATCACTTTGAGGTCACAGAGCGAGTTTGGAATAGGACTGGGAAATTGGGATCCGAGTCCCCGTGCCCCCAGGATCCTGGAGCAAACTGCAGAGCCCTCTTGGTGGGTCAGAGGATGTGCTCATATCCTGTGAAATCCAGCGATAGGAGGCGGTATGGCGCTCTCCTACTGACCAGGCAGTCTTTGTCTGAGTCCAGGGTGTCAAAGGGGCCAGTGTGCCCATAGCAGTTGGTAGCATCATCTCCACGTGTCATGTCACAGCAGCCTTTCTGGGCAAAGACAGGCAAGAGATGACATTTGGAGCCAGACATGGTGGTGCAGGGTTGTAACTCTGGAACTTTAGGAGGCTGAGGCAAGATTGCAAGTTGGAGCCCAACCTACGTGATTAAGCAACTAAGTGAGGTCCCGTTTCAAAAACATTTTAAAATATGTATTTCAAATGGCTGGGGGTATAGCTCAGTATCCCTACTTCTTCCCTTGGAGCCCCTTTCTTCTGCCCTTGCAGCCAGATAGAGAGAACATTTGAATTTATGATGCCTCTGGATCTGGGCACCAGAAATAATTTCTTTTTCTACTTCAAAGCATTTCAATCCAAACACATAACAGTTGTCAACATCTTGATTTTCGCATAGGCACCTGGCTTTGACCATACATTTGTTCGTCCATCAAGTGAATGTGTGTGCGCGCTTGTGAGTGTGTCCGCACGTACATATGATATTTATAACCAGAGAATCATTGACAGCGTTTCTGCAAAATTCTACTGCTCAAGCTAAAACCTAGATCAATTGAATTAGAATTTGGGGATGGGGTGTCCTGGGTCCTGGGAGTGTTCCAGGCCCCCAGGTGATGCCAATATGCATCTGAGGCTGAAAGCAAGGCACTGGGGCAGCTTCTCAGAGCCAAATGGGCTGAGAGAGGTGGTGCACACCTGTAGGCCAACACTCAGGAGAGGAGGCAGGAGGATCTCCGTGCATCTGAGGCCCGCCTGGGCTGCATAATGAGTTCCAGGCCAGTCTGAACTTCATAACATGACCTTGTCTCCCACAAAACAAAACACAAACAAACTAAAAACGGAGAGCCCAGACTAACAAACCAACCACAGATCCCACGGTAAAAAACAAACCTTAATGTACGCATAAACCAACAGGGGATCTCGCTAAAACACAGAGGATGAAGCCGGAGTGTTCCTAATGAGGCCCTGGGAGGCAGGTGTTTGGGGTTCCCACCCACACTCTGAGGAGCCAGAGCCAGGGGGGCTCTGTGGAGAGCCACCACACAGCTGTGACTGCAGATCAGCCTCACTTGGCTGGAAGCCACATAGGTCCCTGGGCAGAGGATCATAGCCTCAGGCCACTGGGGGCAGGACATGCCCAGCCCAGGGCCTCCCAGGCCCCAGAAGTATGCTGCTTCTCCACTGACCAGACCCCCAGCCAGAGCTGGCACAGTGCCTGGCACAAGGTGGGTCTTGGAGGGATGAGGGGCAGCACATGGAGAAACTACCAAGCTGCCCATAGCAGCCAAGAGACCCGGATGGAGCTGGACGCCACCACCTACTGGGTAGGAGAGTTCAGGCAAGTCATTGTGCTACTGTAACCATTTCCTGGGCTTGTCACCAGCTCACAGCACTGCCATGTGGACAAAGCCTCGTCCTCTGCATTTTAGCAAGATCCCCTGGTGATTGATGGGCACATTAAAGTTTGTTTCTTGATGTGGGCCTTTTGGTTTGTGTGTTTGGGCTTTGGGTTTTTGTTCTGTGTTTTGTTTTGTTGGAGACAGTGTCTTGTTATGTAGTTCAGGCTGGCCTGGAACTCATGTAGCCCAGGCTGGCCTCAGACTCATGGCGATCCTCCTGCCTCATAGCAGCAGGGCAATGGTGGTACTCAGAGATGCCTGTACCTGTGATGACAGGGGTTGCCCTGTAACAAGGAGACGCAGGATAGCCCCACTGAGTTTTGTCTGTGAAACAGTGTCCAGGGGAGGGACCCAGGTGATGGGCAACTGTCTGTGTAAGACGCAGCTGTCCCACCAAGAGGTTCCATCTCTGGGGGATGCTGGTCCTGTCTGCCTGCTGGGGCCGGCTGCATCCCCATCTAGGTTGTGCCGGCTGCCAAGTGGTGGCTTCTGCTGGGGGTGCAAAAGCTCACCCCAGTGTCTGACACCCCCAACCCAGAAGTGGCTCTCTGTAGCAGTAACTTGATCATTTGGCCACTCTTGGCTCGAACAAGAGGCTAGAAAGAGCCGCCTCCAACCCAGCTGGCCTGCCACATAGCAGTCATTACCTGAGAACCCCACAGAGGGAGAGTGAGTGGACAGTTTAGTCTATGCACAGGGCCGAGGTCACACACCCATCTGCAAAGACTCTCTCCCCAAAGCCATCTCCCTTCTCCAGCACCGCCAACCCCTCCTCCTGCCTGTGTTGCTCTCCTTCCCAGGGTGAGTGCTCTCGGAAATGCTACTACATCTTTGTCGTGGAGACCATCTGTGTGGCCTGGTTCTCCCTGGAGTTCTGCCTGCGCTTCGTCCAGGCCCGCAACAAGTGCCGCTTCTTCCAAGGACCCCTCAACATCATCGATATCCTGGCCATCTCCCCATATTACGTGTCGCTGGCAGTGTCTGAGGAGCCCCCAGAAGACAGCGAGAGGCCAAGCGGCGGCTCCTACCTGGAGAAGGTGGGGCTAGTGCTGCGTGTGCTGCGGGCACTGCGCATCCTCTACGTCATGCGCCTGGCCAGACACTCACTCGGGCTGCAGACGCTGGGGCTCACCGTGCGGCGCTGCGCCCGTGAGTTTGGGCTGCTGCTGCTCTTTCTGGCCGTGGCCGTCACCCTCTTCTCACCACTGGTCTACGTGGCCGAGAATGAGTCTGGGCGAGTGCTGGAGTTCACCAGCATCCCTGCCTCCTATTGGTGGGCCATCATCTCCATGACAACGGTGGGCTATGGTGACATGGTCCCTCGCAGCGTGCCGGGCCAGATGGTGGCTCTCAGCAGCATCCTGAGTGGGATCCTCATCATGGCCTTCCCAGCCACGTCCATCTTCCACACTTTCTCCCACTCTTACCTAGAGCTCAAGAGGGAGCAGGAGCAGCTGCAGGCCCGCCTGCGCCGCCTGCAGAGTGCTCACGTGTCCAGCGCCAGTGAGCGAGAGCTCCTGGCTGACACGGATGATCTGGCTCCTGGTGAGGGCCCCGCCCTGCCCCTTACCTACATGTAGCTAATGCATAGGCCGTGTGTGTGTGTGTGTGTGTGTGTGTGTGTGTGTGTGTGTGTGTCTGCATGCATGCGCATATGCATGGGACACGGAGTTCCCACCCATCTGACTTGCCAGAAAGATTGTCTCCAGAGGTCGAGGGAGTACTCCCAAAGCAGGCGCTGCAAGGCCAAAAGTGTCACCCATGTGACCTTTGGTCCTCCTGACCTCGGAGTCCTGTGACCTTACCCAGCCGCTTGCCCTGTCCTCACTGCCTGCTTGTCTGCTCAGCACAGCCCACCTGGCGGGCAGGCTCAGAAACCCACCCGCACATTTCCTTCCCTGCAGAGACCCTGCCACCCCATACTGGGTTCCCTGTGCCCACTGAGCTGGTCCCCAGGAAGTTAGATCCCATTTTCCCCCTCCGACCTCTCTCCTCACTCTGCAGGAGCACATGCTCCACGCTTACCATCCCCAAAGCTCTTTCCTAGCAAGGCTGCATCTCAGCTCCAGGAGCGCTGAGCCAAGCAGGCCAAGAAGGCGGCAGTGGCCTCTTCTGGATTCATCCCAAGTCAGGAGCTGGTGGCCTCAAGCCTGCCCCTCCACCCCTGCACAGTGTACCTGGGACCAGGCGGGGTGCTACTTGCCAGCACAGAGCCCTTGGGGGGCGCCGCACTTTCGTTGAGGTGTTCTGCAGCTCCCCAGCCCACAGCCTTGACAGAGCCAAGTCTCCTAGGGCTCCACACCGTCTCTGCAGGGGCTTGGCTGCCCCTTCAGCACAGAATCAAGGGCAGCCTCAGCGCCTGCCCCAAACGGGCTTCCAGACCTGGCCCTGCCCCTGGGGCAGAAGTTCCACAGTAGTTCCATGTGTTTGCTCATGTATGGAGAGAGCCCGGCCTTCGGAGCCCACAGCGGAGGCCCGTGCAGGGCAGTGGGGAGGAGAGCAGGACCGGGATACTGAGCAGCCCGTGTCCAGACGGATCCCCAGAGACACGAGGCAGGTGGGTGTGAAGGGAATTCAGGGTCTGAAGCTAGAAATGGGGCTTGGGTGCTCGGAACCCCACCCAGCACCTCAGTGCTCTGTGGAGGGCAGGGTGGCACGGACGATGGGGGTGAGTGCGAAGGTAACCCTGGAAGGGCCAGGCGTCCAGCGGGGGGCCAGCTCCTCGGTCCCTGTTTCTGAGCACCATGGAGACGTCTCTTGGCACTTCCCAGAAATGACACCATCTGCACTGTCATTCACCACTGGCCTGGAGTCTGTGAAGAAGGTGGCCAGCAATGAGTCTGGCCTGAACAGCTTTCGACTATGGCAAATAAGTCCTTGGCGCACCTCTTCTGTATTAATTTATGTATTTATTTATTTTTATTTACTTTAGTACCGAAGTTTAAACCCAGGACCTTCTCACTGAGCCAAGCTCTCAACCTTTTTAATTTTTTTTTTCCTGAGACAGGGTCTTGCAAAGTCAATGAACTGCCCATGCTGGGCTCCGACTAGTGATCTGCCTGCCCCACCTCCCAGAGTGCTGGGATTACAGGTGTGGGCCGCCGAACCCAGCTGCTTCTGCTAGTCTTTATCAAGGGCTCCTGTGGCCCATGATAAAGAAACAAGATTGTCTCCAGAGATCCAGGGAGCGCCACTGGTCTACGTGACCACAGGGCAAGGCCAGGGCACTGACTCAGGAGAGCACTGGGTCTAGTTTGAAGCCAGGACAGTCTGGCCTCTGGGAGAGTGCTGGATTCCTCTGTCCCCTCTTAGTGTCCCCTAGCTGGCCCTCGCACACAGGCCTATCCCTGTAGCACCTCAGAGTCCATAGGGCACCCCTAGACCTGCCCACACTGATTGTCCTGCCAGGAAGCTCTTTGCATAGTGTCCCATGGTGGTCACACAGGGAAAGCTTGGCACCCTATTAGACCAGCACTGGCCACCATGTCACTGTGCTCTGGAAAGAGACTGGCAGGTTCTTTGGGCCTCTGGTTGTGTTCTGGGCTTCTTGGACAATAGCCATGAGGCTTGTTCCAGGCTAGTGTGTGTGTGTACATGAGAATCAAACCCAGGGCCTTTGTACTAAGCTACAGTCCCACCCTTTTTGTGGTGAGGTCTCACTTAGTTGCCTAGCTTGAGCTCAAACTCGCAATCCTCTCAAGTAGCTGAGATTACAGGCATGTGCAACTGCTCTGGCTTCATTTTTTAAAAAATAACTACTCTTAAACTATTACTGTCTCCCTGGCATTTGGGCAACTTGGGTACCTGCTGGAACCCCTTGTCTTTCACTCCCTCTGTGACTCTACACAGTCCATCCTCATTCCCGCTCTGTGGGTCTGGCTAGCTGTGCAGTTTTCTGACTGGGGTTTCTCCCAGGCACTGGCAGGGGCTGTGGTGGGTGTTGCAGTCCATCCAGGCAGAGTGCTCTGCACCTGGGGCACATACACAGCAACCATTGATTTTTTTAAAAAGCTGACAGATTATAGATGCCCTCACCATGCCAGTCAGTGCCTATCCCCAGCCCCAGGACCTGAGGCAAAAGCTTGCCTTCCTCCCCGTGGGAAACAGAGAATTCCACAGCCACCAGAAGTCCCAGGAACTCCCACACCCTACATTCACCCCTCTTCTGATGAGGGCCTTATTCAAGCTGTGTGTCTTGTGCCGTAGTTCCTGATTCTCACTCTGCCCAAGCAGCCTGCACCCACACAGCTCCACAGAGGCCTGCCAAGTTGAGACGAAAAGTCTAAAATCAATACTGGGGGTCTCCATCGATATTATAAGATTCCACAGTGTCCCAAACACACCCGGTTGAAATTCTGTGCTAAATTAGCAATGGAAAATTGAAATTGATTGCTTGCATGTGGGGTTTAATTAAATGCTCTAATTTTCCTCCTGGGTAATGTCCCAGAAGACAGTCTAAATTGCCTAGGTCTCTCCTCATTGAGCAGCCTCTCCTCCTTGTGGTTGGATTGGGTGGAAGGGACCAGCAGGTGGCTGGCAGTTTCTTCCTCCCCGCGGGCTGGGAGGAGCCCGAGATTCCCAGAGAGCTCCTTCCCTCCGGGGCCAAGGCGGTGAGATTTTCTTCTGAAGCCAAGGGAAAAATAACTATTTCCTGCCACTTTCAGATTGGAGAAACATGGCTCCCAGATGTAACTAAAATTTGCGTTCAGTATATTTCTAGCCAGAGTTGAGCCGAAGCAATAAGCTGAGGACAGCTAAGTTCATTCTTCCGTGGAGTGGAAGGAATTCAGGTGGGACACATTGGCTCTATTTTGATGGCTTCTGGGACATTCCGAAGTTGTGTCAGAAGACAGTCAACCCATAATGCAGGGAGTACACAGGAGAGGTAGAGGAAAAATGGTGTGAATTTCAAAGTACTGAGTGCTTGGGGACTTCATCCATTTCTCAAAAGCATCAGTGACCCCTCAGAAAGAACAAGGAGTCCCAAAGTAAATCAACTCCCTCATTTTAAAATGAGAAGACCAAAACTCAGAAGGAGAAAGCCCCACGCCTGAGACCACACGGCCGGCTCAGCTAGCTGGAGCCAGGTGTCCTGCCTCCTGCACAGC